TTTTATATATATATATATATATATATATATATATATATATATATATGCCCTTAAAGTAAGCTTAAGTTATTTTTTATGTTAAGGATAATTTAGCAAATTTATTGTGCTAAAAATGTGGAATCTTGAAAAGGCCCATATCAATCAATTATTTTATTTTTGTGGTATTTTATTGTACAAAAAATATTTGAAAAGACCTTTGTCATCAAAATAATATTGTTTGAAAAAATAATTTACATGATTTTTTTGAAAAAAATTAAAATTCTTTTTATTCCGTTTGGGAATTTAATTTTTTTATATTCACAATTATTAAGCTTTTATAGTTTTTAGAATTGTTTTTCTTTTTTTTTTTTGTATTTAATATAATTAGGGTTTCTATTTTGCTTTATAAAGGATTATGATAGCTTTTTGACAATCAGATTTTGAAGAAATAAATTAAATATTTTGAGTATTATTTTTATATTTATATGTTGTTTTTGTTTTTTGAGGATTTAAACTTATAACAAACTTCATTATCTTTCGATTTTTGACTACATAATTTGACATTAGAGCTCAAATTTCCAAGTGATTTTTTCGTTCAGCTCTTTAATTTCCGTGGCTGGAGGTTGTAGAGCATATGTTCATGGTGGATGAAGATTTCTAATGGAGAAGGTTCTAATCTAAGAATATTATGGTGGACATGTTCATAATGGATGATGATTGTCAATTAAAAAGGTTCTACTCAAGGACATGTTATTGATGAAGGAGGACGATTTTCAACTAAGAACATGTTCACGGTGGAGGAAGATGATTTCTGACCAATGTTTCAACCAAGATTATTATGCGCAAGGCGAGGGCAGAAGCCAAGGCTTATAACATATACAGTAGTTTTGCTCACGTGCAATGCTAATCATATGTTTGCTCATCAATATATGTATGAGAATGTACGTATGTATGTACGTATATGTATGTATTAATGTATTTGTGTATGTATGCAAGTATATGAATAGAGGCAGAGAAGGAATTGGCAAACGCAAGGATGGATGTTGCTCACGAGGTTCGATTGGCAAGAGAGGCTGAAGAACAAGTGGAGCCGCATGGTATACTGATCATCAGAGTACTCTAGGGAAGATGTATACTGTACGTACGTATACAGTAGTTCTTGGAAGGTATACGGTATATCATGTAGTTTATCCTTCACATCCTGCATTTACTCTGACGATCAGTATATCTACGCCTGTGCTCTGTCAGCCATCCAAACCGGAAATAAAGCTGCTTCCAAATTATAAATTGGAGGTTTTTGTTGGCAATCATTTAGAAGTATATATTATTGATGATGGTATACAATTTTATTTTATTTTATTTTTAAAAAAACCTTCAGCTTGAACGGCTTAGAAATGCTGACAAAAAATGAATAATCCACAGTAGCCAAATATTATCCAAAAAACTAATTCACAAAGCAATATTACTGTGTTCTAAGTATATATATTATTATTCATTACAATAGTGTAAATAATATAATGCTCCTTAATTATTTTATCTTTTATCTTTGCTTAGGAGGTAAAGTGATTTTTTTATACTAGTTTTTTAATTTATTTTTTTATTCAATTCCTCTTCTTTTATTTATAATTATTTTATTTACATTACTTATTTCTAGTTGGATTTTATTTTCAGTTTCAATTTGATTTTTTAATTTTTTTAAATTTAATTTTTATTATTTTTAATTTTTTTTTTATTTTGAGTCATTTTCTTAATTGATTTTTTTTTAATTCCTACCCGTGCATTTATTTTCATTCAATTTTTATGTTAAATTTGATCATAATTTTTTTAATTATTATTTTTTAATCATTTTTTTTTAATGGATTTTTTTTTACAATTACATCCCTAAGCATTTAGTTTCAATTGATTTTTCTCTAAACATTTAATTTCATATAATTTTTATGCCAAATTTAATCCTAATTCTTTTAATTATTTTTTTCATTTTGCATTTTGTTTATTGATTTTTTTCTCAAATTCATCTCTCAATATTTGTTTGATTAAGAATCTTTTTTTTTTTTGGGTTAGGCTTTTAATAAGGTCACTTCAGTCTCATGATTCGAGTAATTGATTTGAAGAGTTAGCTCGAGTTGCCTTTTATTTTTTAAAGCATTTTTTTAATATTTTTTTGCCTATATTTTTTCACTTTTCTATTTATAGAGTCATTCTAATTTCATGTCTTAGGTCAAATATTTGATTTTTGATCTA